GCGTGCCCAGGAGGTTTCAGACCTGCAGCCCCCAGCCAGAATGGAGCGAACGCGGCATAAACGCCTGCTGGAGAGTTAAAGATCAGCTCTTTGGCTGCCAAATCTGAATAGCTCTTTTCTGCACCACTGAAAAGCAATGAGGATGCTTCAATGAACACTCTAGGTTGTTTAGGTAGATGAATAGTTGAAGCTGCTTTTCTGGCACATCCTCTGTATGTAAGCTGGCACTGTCCCACGAATCTGAAAGGCCCACATGGCTTATGTTGCACGCTGCCCTCTTCACTTAGATAATATTAGTTCACTTTTGCCATCTGAAACATGTATTAAGTTACCAAATTGATCCTAAGTGATGGTAAGACTTTGGATAAGAAAAAAACTCCCTTAATAAATACAGGTCCTTTCCTTTGAATTTGCATAAATAAAACTTCCCAGGTCAAACTCAGCATGGTACCAGGGATGCTGCAGGGAACCATGTCCTGAGTGATAAGTGTGAACCCTCCAGAGGAGAGAGACTGCACAGGAGAAGAACTGCAAATGTAAGTTCACCCTCACCTTCAGCACTTCGCTTGCTGGAAGGAAAGAACCACCTGGACCTTGCCAGGTTCCTGAAGAGTCACCTGGGCTTGAACAGGGGAAACTTGCTGATAGAGTTTGGCTTCCAATACACTGCACAAAAATATTAACAAGGGAATTTTCAGGGGAGCAAAGACCTTGTGGCTTGCCCTACAAAAGCATAACCATGTATCTGTTACAGAGCACTTGGGATAACCAAAGCCAGTAGCAAATTAGGAAGAAATCAACTTCCTTTTTCCTTTACACACTTTCTCAAGAATCCATTGCTTATGGCCACTGTAGCAAATTGCATTACATATTACAGTATAAAATAACATCTGCAAAGTATTATCCATAGACCTGGGGATCTTGATATTTAGCTCTTCTTCTTAGTTGATTAAAATGCCTGTTTTCTGTATTTTAAAACATTGCCAACTTCAGGAATAATCCATAACGATGGACTCTTGTGTGGCACAGTCTGATGGATACTTGGCTTATATTCCAGGTCTTCTTTCTCATGTTGGGCTGTCTCTGACTCTCTGGCATGCTGAAATCTTTTGATTAAATCCTCTTACTCCACTGCTTCTTTATTGATACTCTCCCTTTGTCTGGCAAGATTTTAATTACTACAGTACTGCATAACTCCATTCAGTGCTCCAATACTACCTCTGTGATAAGAGCAAAAGCAATACCTAAGATAGAATGCAAGTATAATACTCTATCATTATGTCATCTTTTATGACTCCTAGCACCCTCTTTATAGCTGCTAATATATTGTGGTCTCTACCTTTCACTTACTGATTTCTGCTCTCCCTCACTCAATGTGTCTTTTTTCTCACCCAGAGAATTAACACCCCATCTCTGCTATCTCTCTTTCCTGTTCCCAGTTATAATGGAGTGAAGTTCTCTTCTTCTTGTCATCTTATTCTTTCTCATCTCTCAAAGACAGGAGTCTATATAATGCTCTACATCTTCTGCAACACAATTAGCAGCCACGATGCAATGGTCTGTACTCAGCATTACTGTGTGTTGCTTAATGCACAGTGGGTGAACCTAATACAAAAGTCAGAGCAGGAAAGCTGGAATCTTCAGAGGGCTGAAGGGAAAACTGAACTATACAAGCTAAAATACACCCTCAGAGAGGAATGCACAGGAGCTTTACATACCTATTGGTTTTGCTGGGTTGCTGACTTGAAGTGCTAACTCCTATTGACATCAAGTAACCATTAAAAACAGGCAAGGTTCTAATGCAGGGTAAGTAGAATTTTACATAAGAACTGTACACATATTATCATGCAATTTTAATTTAAAATTACATTTGAGAATTAATAGTCATGGCCTCCCTTTCAGCTAGTCCTCTCCACTTTTGCTCTTACAGCAGCAGTATTGGCTCACACTATCAAAAGCCTTAAGGGGAACAGGTCAGTAGAAATTCTCTGCTCTGCACAAATACATTTCAATACCTGAGAAGCAAAAAAGCAGCAATTAAGCACAGCAAAATAAATAATTCAATAGTTAATTTGACCTGCCAGGTTGCAGAGTGGTTTTTTTATATGCTAACAGATTGTATTTTAGTTTAGAAGAAGTGTCCTTGGAGAGTAACGCTGTAACTAAAATGCTATAGTGCAATATAAGGCAAAAGCTCATCCATAAATGGGGCAACTACTGTTTACAGAAAAGTTTTTGTGTTGTCAGTCCTTCATATTTAATGAGAAAGTGATGTAGTCCTTCTCTGATTCTTTATTAATTAATCTGCCAACTGATTAGGCAGGTAAAGCAGCCATAGATTGGAAGACTAACATTGAACTGCAGGTACTTGACTTTTAGATGGAACACAAACCAAAAAAGGTAATGCTCTTTTCTGTGGTAAAGGAATTGGCTTCTTTTTAATTGCCTCACAAATAATCCATAGACAGTTTTGAGTGGGAGCAATCCATGTGACCTCTGAATACACGAATATATATTGAACATGGGGGAAATATTAACACAAGATGAGACTTAGTAGGAGAATACAACAGCAGCACTTAAACAAGATACTCCTGCATGACCAGGTTTATGGGGTTATGGAGTAGGGGTAGTGTTAACCTGGTGGGAAAAAATAACAGACTAGATAGAAGGACTTGCAGTCCCTCCTAGTAAAAGCAGATAAGAGGAAAATTGAGATGACAGGCAACCGCATGTGCACAGTTGGACAGAACTAGAACTAGGAGGAAACAGGTAGAACAAGGTTTGAGGTGGCTGTCAGCAGCCCCAAAGGCTGAGGGGAACAACAGGAGAGGCACCAGGAAGGAAGACTCTAAGCCTCCATGTGCAGATTTTAAACAAAGGGTTATGTGATGCTTCTGGTGAACATTTGCTGTTCTCATTCATCCTCTGTGGCTACTCCAGAAGCCAAGTGGTCTCAAGGCAGCTGCACAGACTGGCTCAGCAGTATTACTGAGACTTCAGTGCACTTGTTGAAAGGAGAGTACACCAGGGAGGATGCAGTAAATGCAAACACTTTTTATCTCGGATATACACACATGCTCATTTACTGAGTAGTCTAGGCTCTTGCTATGCTGATTTCAACCCTTACTGACATTAATGCAAAGCAGTAAGGTTGAAAAAAAAAAACCCAAGCAAACCCAAAAGGAATCATAAAACCCTCTATTGCTTACTGACACCATTGCCTCGCTTCTCTGGGTAGAGCACATGAGTGAGATCTCAATGTCCTTTATAGAAGTGATAACTAAATTCTCTGCAAGCTCAAGAAAACTGCAGCTTGGCCGTGACAAGCACTGGGAACAGCACACAGAGCATGCTCTCTCCACTCCCCAGTTCTGTCCAGTAGCTGATATTACCTTACATGAACATTCACAATGATTTGAAAGATCTAGTTGCTTTAAAAGTAAATAAACATATTAAACCAGCTCTTAAGCTTCTAGAAAATTACTATAACTGCTATTAGAGTCTTTCATAGTCCAGGGGAAAAAAAACCCAGGGTGAATATAAACCAGGTGTACTACAAGACTTATTTTATTGCATCTTCCATATTGTAAAGATATTCATGAACATATAAAAATAAACACTCCACTCCTTTGCAATTAAGTTTCTGTCTGGTTGTTAAGTACAGCTATTTTTAGTGTTAATTTGGGGATATCTCCCAGAACTGCAGAGCATAATCAGCTCCACCATAACCCTGCATCATCATTATCAAATACCAGACTATCTTCAGAAAACACACATTTTACATACTGAAGGTCCCAGCAGCCTCTTTTCAGCTGACTGTACATACCAGTTCCTTCACTCCCAACTTCCAGTAATGCTGAATAGTGTCCATTAAGTGGTGCTACAAAGATTTACTCCAACTGCAGATCTGGCCCATTAAACCCAAAACTGTGCACTGTCAATTCTGCTCCCTTGCAAAACAAAGGGGATGAGGAAAGGAGTGCCAATTTCAAGCCCCATTAAAAATGCAGGACATGATTCAATGTTTCCCTCAAATGTAAATATAAGAAAATTTATGAGGAAATCAGATTGGTATTCAAGTTTCTAAGAAGAAATGATAGAAAATGACAAAGAGATAAAAAAACTACTTGAAAGCATGCATCTGCCTCCAGCCCAGAGCCTCCTTAGTGGTGTCTCCCAATTTGACTGTTTGGAGGTTTCATATTCATTGTGGTTTAAATTACTTTTCTCTCCACTGAGCTGTACTAGAGCAGGCACAACAGCTTTTTTATGGATCTTGCAGCCATTGCCGAAGATTGTTGGCAATGTTGCAATAATCAAGAATATTATTCAAGAGTAATTGCTAATGTGATAACATCAGCCTACAGCCATCTCATCTCTACAGTTTTTCAGCTTCCCTGTTGCTGAGTGAATCTCTTTCACAGCCTTTGAGACACAGGGCAGAGCATAAGAGCATCGCTCTCCCTGTGGGAATAGCTAACAACTTACCAGCCAATGTTGAATTCAACATGAGCATCAAAGAAACCGACGACAGGAGAGGTTGCCGCTTTCCAGCCTTGGATTCTGGCTCGAATCAGTCCTTCACGTTTGTTATTGCGCACTATTTTCACCAAACCTGGGTATCTTTTATTGACATACTGGTCCAGATTAAATTTTAGCTCAACTGCAGAACAAAAAAAACTCCACACACATATTCAGAATAAGAAAAGCCCTGAAACGTTATATTTTACTTTGATTTATTCTGCAACAGAAAGGGACAGAAATCCTTAAGTATTCTCAAACTCTTAGTCAGTCTCACAGACCCAAACCAAGTACCACAGTTGTGGTGGGAACCAGTTGTGGGGGTACCTGCTCAGAAAAATTCCCTATACATCAGATCAGTTACTGCTAGACTTGAATAGGTTTAATGTGGCCTCATGGATTTGGGTATTGTTTTGAAAAGTTAGTTTGTCTAAATATTTATAAATAACTACTATTGTAATTCTCTGATGATTTGCATTAGGTTACAACTGGCCTCTGGAGAAGCAATTCTGACCTTAAGCAGTGTAACATGGGAGACTGGTGATTTTTTTTTCTGATTTATGCTATTCAGTAAGAGTTTGAAAAATAACCTCAATGGATTTTGGGTCAAGACCTAATTCAGATCAGAATTAATTTCCCTTAATTTTAAGGGTTTTCCCTTAAATATAATTAAGAAACCTCAGTACCAGGCTTCTTCCCAGTTGAACTAAATGGATATTGAAGATTTCAGATAGACTACTTCTCATTTGTTCATTTTCAGGCATTGAACTACAGATGGAGCAGAACTCATTCACTCCTTTATTCAGCTTCATTTCAATCGGTTTATAAACAGGCGAATTACCAAAATGGTCTCTGTTTTTTTAAAAATCAATCTAGTTTGGTAATTCATTTACACTGTAACTTATTATAATGAGGCTTTTACTCAAATATATTTATTAGGAAAACTAGTAGAAGCTTCCAGGACATTAGCAGCCTCATTCTTCTGATCTATATTACACAGTAGAATCATTAAGATTGGAATCAAAGACCTGATAAATCTCCAGTTATCTAGAATAATGACAGAGAAAAGCCATATAATAGTTCACTGAGAAACAATGAGTCCAATTCTCCTCTCAAACACTTTGCAATCTCACATAATTACTTCATAACTGCCATAACTGAAAGCAGAATTGGACAAGAGATTTCTTAAAAATACAGGGTTTGAAACTTATTTTTGGCTTAGTGATTTGTTCTCTCAGCCCTCCTTTCTCTTTGGGGATCCTAAAGAAGAACTTAAAGATTTAAAGATGTTGATGTGTGGAGGAAATGCTAAACTTAAGCCTTATTTTAATAAAAAATATTTGAGAAGCTGCAACAGTTCTGAAAGTCTAAGGTATAAAAACTTAAAACACACCACCACTGTTAGTCACCTATATCCTAAAAGTTCTTCAAACCCAACCATCCCATGAAACCTGTTGATCAATAGCATCCTATATGCTCACCAATATTTTGTTTTCATTGCTGTAACAGAAATGTTACTTTTGCAATTATGAACCAGATGACCTGAAAGTTGCATGTGTTCTGTGTACATTCTGTCATTTTCATGGTCCCTACCTCAAAAAAACCTACAAAAAAAAAAAATTCACTCAAAATCTGATATCATCAACGCCTGTTTAAATCATGAAGAAGCAGAGTGTGCTGCCATGTAAAAGCATTGAAACTATCTTTAAGAAGAATTTTTAGTCCCACTTTTCCTTGGAAGCAGAATTTAAAATTTTAGTCTATCAATGACGATATTGATAGAATCATAGAATGCTTTGGGTTGGAAGGGACCTTAAAGCTCATCCAGTTCCAACCCCCCTGCCATAAGCAGGGACACCTTCCACTAGACCAGGTTGCTCAAAGCCTCATCCAGCCTGGCCTTGAACACTTCCAGGGAGGGGGCATCCACAATTTCTCTGGGCAACCTTTTTTTCCATATTCTACTGGATCTGAAAATTTGGAGAAAAGTATCATTTCTCTACTAAGATTGCCTATACAAATACAATTAATTCTGTGCAGATTTAAATGAAATCAGCACAGTTTAGCCACATGATGTTTATGTGTTATACAAATAGTTAATATTTACTCACAGCTTTGTGCAAGTGGCTCAGTCAACCCTTTTATCAACAAACACAAACTCTTGTAAATTCTACTGACTTCAACAGAAGTATGCTAATTTACACCAAATTATGATTTAGTTTATTAGCCAAAAATCAAGGGTTGCATGTATCACCTTCCTCCCCCAGCTGTTTAAACACAGAATGACTCAATGCTTCTTCATTCCAACATTTCTTTTTTTTTAAAAAAAAGGCATTTCAGCTAGTAGTGAGCAAACTCCCTTTGATTTACACTTCATGTCCATTAACCACACAGGATACAGTGCTTAGAGGAAAAGTTACATATGTTCACCATTGTCACTGTTGTCATCCACCAGAATGATCTCCTTGAGCAAGTGCGATGGGGTGTGATTCACAACGCTGTGCACAGAGCGCAGGATGACAGAGAGCGCTTCATTTACAAATATAAAGACCACAGAGATCTGGGGCAGGTCGTCTCGGTAGGTCATCTGTTTGCACCTGGAGAGAAGAAAAAAAGAAAGAATTAAAACCCAAGTAGCCACTGGGAGGTAAAATACACTGCAGAGTGTCCTCTCCTCATTGCTCTCCAGCACATAGGGACTTGCAGGCTTTGCTCATTCTAACCCCAGGCAAAAATGCAGTAAAAGCTCAAAAGAAGCCACACAGCTAAGAGCAGCAAACTTTCCATCAGCTCAGTGAAAACCAAAGTGTATCTGCATGCACGCAGACTTGTAGTGGCTCTCATTCTCTGGAAGGTTAAAAGTATCTCTTGCAAACCAAAGGCATATCAATGACTTTGCTCAAAAACAACCTGGAGAAGGTCCACAATGCTATAGCCTGTCTGTGCTCCCAGGGGCTCCATCAGGTTTGCTATTAACTCATAATTAGCTATCATACTTTTAAAATCAGGACCCACTCCAGCAAATTTTGCATTTGCCCATATAAAGAGCAATTGCCACCCTTTCTGATTTTGCAGTTTGTGCAGCAATAACAAACGCACGGTGTTTGTTGTACAGGTATGCACTGACTGAAATAGTTGCAAAACAGATCTGCTCCATCTGAGATGTCACCTTGGTAGGCAGCTACATCCTGAGATTCACTATTTCCTTTTGTGCTTGCTCACTGATGCATATACATTACCATAGACCATTTTGAGGAAAAACAAAACAAAACAAAAAAACCTCCCAAAAAACCACAACAAAAAAACAAGGCCTGGAGAAGCCACACAGCACAGAGTAGTGCTTCTGCTTCCCAGGTCACCAGCCCATGCCTCTCTGTAACACTATACTTCCTAATTTTAATGGAATTCTCTCCCACTATCAAAGATGCTAACGTTAAAAAATTACCTCCATGTTCTCACAGTCAAAAGCCATTCAGAGTTACCACAGCAATTACTGGACCTGCTCTCTAAAATACTGCTAATGATATCACAAGAAATTACTTCTCCTGCTCTTATCAAACTTTCTGACCTCTTTGCTCATTACTCTGGCATAAAAATCATTTTTTTTCCCCACTATCAGCAGTCATGGGGATTGGGAGGGCGACAAATGCTTGACTGTTGGGTAACCTCCAGAAATCAGTTATGAATTCTAGTAAAGTGCAATTATTCATAATTCCTACTCATCCCAGCACTATTTGCTCAGAGACCTGAGTACTTGTCATTGATTACAGTGTTACCATAGCTACTTACTAGCAGCTTGCTGGTAGCCTGTACCATACAGAGGACCACTATGTAAAACTTCTGGCTAAACAGCATTCTTGCACAATCTGAAAATAAATCTGGAACAGGGACAGAGATTTACAGGAGGTGTGAATGCTCTGACACAGCCTCCTTTTTGATTTTTTTTTAAAATGTGATTTTCCTCTTGATCACACCAACATATCAAAGTCATCCATCAGGAATATTCAATAACAGGAAAGAGTCATCAGCTAAAAACATAGACCTTGCAAGATTTCCCTTGATAAGGGACATCTTTGATCTGAAAGCAATTTGCTTCAGAGCCTCACTTGTTTCAGTAGGACATAGTAAATTGCATCCCAGTAAATTGGACTGGTACCCAAGGAGTGGATGCATTGCTGGGGGAAGTAAGGCAGAGCTGGGAGCCCACTCCAGGCCATGCATCCTGGTGGGGTCCTGCATCAGCATTCAGAGCTAGCAAGAAAGAAGGGAAGCCAAGAAACCACATAGTCAAAGTCTGGAGACAGGAAGGAGGCTGTGGCAGAGGAGAAGGAGGAAGCACAGTAAGAATGAGAGGGTAGTCAAAGCAGCACTTGCAAAGTAGAGGGACAAGCAATCAAAGGAAAGGTAGGATGAACACAAATGTCAAGAAGCAGAGAGGCAAGTGTAGAAGGGCCGAAGTATTTTGCCTAGGAAAAGACAGGGAACCACTGAAATAGTGCCAGACTTCAGTGGATTAGGCTGGGCTTCCTTTGTCTTCTGATCAAGAAATTTTGCTGAACTTTTCTGGCATAAAAATTATTTGTTTTATTGGTAAGTGGACTGAAACATCTGGGCACCTAGCCACATGTTCCTCCTGTTCAGACTGAAAGGCTGAGTAGGACTAATCCTCAGCACTTTTTCTCCACCCTCCCACTTACAATTCTGAGAAAATCAGTATTTCTAATTGAAGTTTTAAAAACAGCACACCTAAATCATAACTTCCACTTTTGATTTATTTGTTCTTCTTTACATCAAATCAATGCATTATTATCCTAAGTCCTCCATGGTCTCACTGGTTCACAAGACTTTTCATGCCATAGTTCTCAACGATTACTTTCATTGTGGGACATCATGGACTGCTTTAGATAAAAGGCTGTTTTGAATTCATTATCCCAGCTGTGTTATATCATTCCTATCACTTCTCACTGCAACTTTCCTTCTGTAAGTTCTCTCTTTTCTTGGTTAGCAGGACATAGTTGAAAAACTGCACTATCCCTGCATTTGGAAAGAGCACTCCAACCATCACATATCAGAATATCTTGGGTGACCCTGCTGCAACAGGAGATGGGCAAAGGCAAACCTCAGAATTTAGGTTTAAAAGTTGTCAGTTTTATTTATTACAGCAAGGATGAAGAACAGCAAAAGGAGCTGTCCAGCTGAGTAGACTTTTCAAAGTACAGCAGTGATTTAGGAGTTTATTTCCTACAGACTTCCAGTCAACCTTGAACTCCCAACTTCTTAAGGCACTTCAGAAAATGAGATAGATGTGCTGAAGTAGTCAGGAGAAAGTACTGGTCCACTAACACTTCTGATGATGTCTGAGAGCATGAGCAACCCCAGTCAAGGGGCCTTTCCTTAAAAATCAGTGGGTGCTTAAGTGCTTTGCTGGATTGTCGCCCAAGTGCTTCCCAATGTATTCTGTAATTAGATACCAGCTGCAGCAATTTACAGTTAATACTTCCCTTATTCCAAGAAACTCTAACCAGCAATTGACACTCTGAGCCAAACAGTGACATTAGCAAGTCACACATGGGGATGCTCTACCATCAAAGCACAGCTGTGCCCATTGTCACCTTACCATGCCTTTGCAGCATCGTTCTTGTCAGGACACCGACAACAGACCCAGTGCATTGCAATGGAATATTCAGTCACTTGGGCCTGTATGCAAGGTTGAGAAAGTCAGAGTCAGGAGGACATGCGAAGTCCTCCTTGGCACAGACCTTGATTTTGGCTCTGCAGTATTGCAGCAGGAGAGAGGTTATTCCAGAAAAGTCCTAGGAAAAATCAGGCTATAACAAGCCTATGACTCCAGAAGGCTGAACAGTAACCAGAAGGTGAAGACATGAAACTCCAGTAACCAGAAGGTGAAGACATGAAACCATACCAAGGTGTCCTAGCAAGGCACATCCTTATACGATTCAACCTGACCACCAAAAGGACTTTGGTAAGAAATGAAGAAATCATCCATTTCTGGCAGCCCTGACACTGCAGTGAAGCGCCTGGGTGTTCAAAGCAGCCCTTCCTGGGGCACAGTTGGCTGGCCTGCTCCGAGAGCCCACAGCACTAACACTACACCCAGCACTCTGCCACGGAAAGGAGCTGGGTACAATCATGATCTTCACTTCTCTGCACTATGTCTGATCACATTATGAACTGTAGCAACTGGGTGAGGAAGGACAACCACAGTAACTGATAGCCAAATCTTGGCCTCTTTAATGTCTGTCTAACACTACTGATTTTGGGAAGAACTTGGAGCACAGGTTTGACCTCTGTAGTAGCTAACAATGGTCTAAGCTGGCTAGGCATAGCTCACATTTAACAGTACTGTGATTCTAAATTAGTATTATGAACCCTCATTGGGTCTCACAGTGTACAACTGGCAAAGGACTTCAGGTCTGCATGAGAAGCAGCTCCTCTCTCCAGGGCACACAGATATGCTGTAGAGAAAACACACTGCTGGATGCATTTAGGACTAGTGATTTCAAGCAAAGACTGATGATGTCATGGCTAATCATTTCCACAGACTAGCTGAGGATAGATCAGATCTGATAGGCGAAACAGCTCTTCAGGCACTTTTGTACAACATGCCAAGCATCAAACCTGAGACATCCTGATGTTGTCTTGGGAAAAGTCCTTCTTACTCTGTATTGGCTACTGCAGAGCTTGGCTGGCAACTCAGCAGTATTTCCTTTGTAATTGACAGAGGGCTTGATGTCAGATCATTTTTCTCTACTCTGGAGATGATTTTCACTCATTCTTTCCCTTGCATTGAACTAGTTCCTTAAATAAACATATCCCAGCCAGCCCCTGAGCACAATTGTGAGCACTGTCTATGCAGGCATAAGAAAACAGGAAAGGCTCTTCAGTTGCCAGACCAGAACCTTGGGAAAAAAAAAAAAATCATGTAGTAATACAAAAAAGGCCATAAATTAGAAACTGGGACAATGAGAAAACAAAAGCTTCTCAGCTGCACATGAGCCTGCTCATGGCAACCCTGTGAGCTCGTAGGCAATAAAGGAAAGGAAATTTTCTTTTGTCTGAACCTTCATTCCTTGATAGCTGTATTTACTCTATCTGTATCTGATCCAACAGAAACAAGTGAAGTCCCCTAGTTATCAGAGCTGGTCTTACAGTCCATTCGAGTTGCACTACTTTTTGCAAAGGACCGACACTACAGCCATGCAGGTAGCTCAGTGCATTACCCAGGAAAGAAAAACCTTTCCTACTCTCTTTCTCCTGCCTTCTCTCCTACCCAGATACTTCCTAAACTCCAAAAATTAGTTTTGCTTGCAGACCTTAATATACTGAGTTTGGAAATGGATTAGGCAATGCATTTAGAGATTTCTGACAGCTTTACCCTTCAGGAAGAAATGCAAACAAAATTAAAGCTGCTTCATGAATCTTTAAAATATTTAATACAAGATAATATTTTTCCAATGAACCACTGGAATGGAGATAACTGTGGGTTTCTCTCCTTCACAAACTTTATGAAATTGTTGGGCATGAAGAAACCTCTTCTGCAGTTCTAGCACAAAAAACTCTCCAACATGGTCCATAC